TCAGCCATTGTAAGTCCTAAAATGACGAAAATATTATTTTCAGACAAGTGGTCTTGTGCCCTATTAACATATAATGTACAGGTAGTTAGGGTACAGTGGCTTATCGATCAGACCAATGACGCACAAAACCTATACAAGCAGTCTAAAGTCCTAATCGGTCCATCTTCCTGCCTAGGCCTGTCTGTTAAGTCCAGAACATCAATTCCAGCCTCTGCGATATGAATCATGTATTTCAAATATACAGGGTTTGTGTATAAACCAAACAGACCACATCGTACTATAAAATGGAAAATAACATTTGTACAAGATGTAGTCAAAAGTGGCTGTGAATGTGGGAGACTGCAATTAATAGACAGGGTATAATTCAAGAATGGTAAACCGCATAATAATAATCTATGGGTCAAAATGAAGCTTATAATAGGAGGAACATGAATATGAATAGTTTAACTATTTAATAATCATACAACAAAATATATGTATCGTATTAGTCCATAAATAGTTCTCAAAAGCTACCATTCATATTTCTCGTCGGGATAATAACATATATACTGTGAGATCTTTCAGTATAAACTAAATTTTGTTTAGCTGGGTTTTTTTACAGAAATTTCAGTTTAGTTAATTAATAGATTGAATCATGACCGAATAACTACTTTAATAATTTTTCAGTAGTAAAACTATTTCAACTAAAATTATGGCTCTTACACAGATTATTTCAGAAAACAATAGAATTTTAAATTGTACACAATTATTCAACTGAATTATCTGCTTCTTTCAATTTATTACCATCAAATCATCTTCTGTCATAATTTGTACATCCATTTCCCTTTTTAAAAGTAAAACTAATCTCTGTATTATTTGTACAAATAAATCATTTTATTGTTATATTTCATACTATATGTCTTACTATGATGATATTAAATAAGTTACAATGAGAAACATTAAAAGATAACCAGAACATAAAGAAATTCCCTTTTTGATTCTCAACTGTCTAGATTCGAAGGATGTGTTTTGATCAAATGTTTAAAGATCATAAAATTGATGTTAACGGGGGAACCGTGTTTCGATAGACTGACAGACTGCTAACAGATGGGAAACAGAAACCACTGGAAAGCAGCTTTGCTATAGTGCAAGACTCTTCGGAAATGTGTATTACTAAGCCTGTTGGGAATCTAACTCAATATAACAAGTATATATTAATTTGCTGGTACAAAGCAAAATTGATATCATTAGTGGTTATAGATTATCTGTTAGTTGATTTGTCGCTGTATATTATAGTGTATGCTACTTATATCGACATGAGTAGTATGTAACAATAGTCAGGATTAGATTGTCTGCCAGCACACGGTGAAGGAAAGAACGGGAACAGAATGCAATTGCTATGAAAATGCAGGAACAACGAAGTCTGAGACGACTGACTCTTATTTGTAAAGAAGGAACAGTCAGTTTCGAGATAATTGATTGATATTTTGTGAGTGAAGTACTTACTGTATGGTTCTCAAATTTTACAAAGATGTGCAGTAACCTTATGTTCAAATATATTCGATCGTCCCCAATTTTGTTCTTTTTCAATGTATATATGTCAGTAAATCGTATCCGCAATACTGAAGACATTGATGTTGATCTTCAGAAATTAGTCAGTATTGACGAGTTGATAATTTAACACTAATGTGAGAATTTTAATTGATCGGTATTGTTCTTCTTTGAAAATTGTACCTGTTGAACAGTTCAATGATCATAGGTCGCAGTTTAAATATGAATCTTATTCTTGTTAACGGCTAGTACATTTTAAATAACTCTAAAATTTTAAGAAATTATTGAAGTGGAACAACTACATATATATACATCTATGAGCCATCAGCTAATACGTTGAATATAGTTCCCTCCTTAAAATTTAGTCAACGGTTAATTGATAGTCAAGTTACTATAATGATGACCTATAGATCTACAGAACTTGACACTTTTCGAACGAAAATCCCGGTTTACTATAAATCAACTGAAATTGAATTTAACAGGTCACTGCGATCCCACCATGTGTTTTAAACCATCATTTCCTATGCTATGATAAAAGTCCTTAGTGTGCGCTACTAAAGAATTTCAAACCGGAATGAAACATTACCCTTCTTATGAACTAACACTTTGATTAAACGTATAAACCAACGTCAAAATTTAATAGTCGAATTCATGAGTCAATTGAAACTATGCCACCGTGGTAAACCAGAAAGCACTGGACGGCCGTTTTGTCCTAGTATGGGACTCCTCGGCAGTGCGCATCCAAAACGTTTTAGTTTCAAGTTGATTTTTATAAAGGACTTTGATCAACTGTAAAACTACTGAAAACCATGAAGTACCACACAGCTATTTCATCATAGCATATAAAATAACTATCTAACCCTCCTTAGTTTTCAATAGGTTAATCATTCAATCTCAATATGTGTAATCAGAGTTAACTTCTAATAAATGAATCGTTAATACACTCAAGTGTTAATATATTCAATGTCTAGAAAGGCTCAACAACACAATAAATCTTCATTTTTCTCCAAATATCTAAAACTATAACAACAATGAATAATGAAAGGAAAAAAAGTGAACAGATTTGTAGAACTACCATAGTAACATTAGAAACTAAACAATAGAATATTACTTAAACAAAGTCACTATTGAAAACCATATAATAAGTAACAATTTAATATTTGAATGAATAGACTTTCGAATATAATAGAGATTGTTTTAAACACGCATGAAATGATAGTGCGGTTTCTTTAAACAAAACGATGCACCTGAATATATCTAAAGGGTTGATGGTATTGTATTAAAACAATGTAATTTGTGAATATTGAAGTATACAATCATAAAACAATCTAGAATTAAAATGCTAATTCTCATGTGATAAGCCAAACAATGAGGGATACATACAGAATATACGATCTAGATAATTACATTGAAACAAATATGATTTTATAGCAGTATAGTTATTAGCGGGACATAGATTGGATTGAAGTATGCTCAATGCACGATTGCGTTGGCGCACGCTGATTATCTAATTCTTATGAGTTTTTAACCTGAACTAAATATTAATTAATGTAGAACCATTCTTGATTCAGAGAAATTCATATATGAATATTCCGATAATCTTTGGCTTTAATCAACTTGAGTTAAGTTATTCTGGTAAATCTAACAACGCATATACTAACTTAGATGACATCCTAACTACTATATGATCATTTTGACATTCTTAGAGAAAATCGACAAACGAGGAATGAAACCATATCATTGCATTAAACGGTATCAAAAGACATTGTATGTTATGTTTGATATTTCGAGGGAAGTGATTAGAAAACTAAGCAAGCACTTTTAAATAGTTTACCCATAATAACTACATTACGATACTAGAAGTGGTTGGCCCAACGAGTGAAGTAGCGATATTTGACTCTAAACCAGTGTAAATTACAGGTTAAGGTTATGCTTCAATAATCTCAATTTAGATGGCCGTTTACCATAATTAACCCTCGAACAGTATGACAAAAGTGTGCGAATTATAATTCATAGGATCATTTAGAGAAATCCATAAAAGCCATCACATGTGAAATAATTTTAAATATTCTAGGAAAGCCTTATACTATAAACTAAAATCCCGAAGAAAATCTAAGTGGTTTAGCTTCACACTTAATTGGCTGTACTGTTCTGTTTAGCCGAACAAACGTGTTTATGATGAAGTATTCTAATGCAAGTACTTCAATATATCAAAATATAGATTTCAACTACAGGATGCAGCAGTCTCGAGGAGGGTTGGTTCTGGAGAGGGGGGCAGAAGGATAAGACATTTATTCAGGTGTTAACATGTCTTATTATTTACTTCCTTCCAGAACTAATCATCTCCAAGGCCATAGAAAGAATGTTCTAAAACGGCAATCAAATAAACTGAGTGAGATTTTGTTTTTCTCATTGACTGGTCAACGACTGGAACGGCTTAACTGAACAAATGATATCAAGTCTATCAGTGAACGCTCAAGAAATTGGTTTTCCAATGGAAAATAACTTGCAATGATTAACACAGGTCACTGAAGACTGAAAATATAAGTCTGAAGTCAATAATACACATTACAATAAGCAAAATGATTCCCGCTTACAACTTACTGGTAAGAAGCTATTTGCAAATGGACTCATTGGTGAGATAGCACTGTTAACCGTGATGATTACATAAGTGAACACTTGTTTAATTAACAAGCAATACGTATCAGCATCTTAATTAAAAACACTTTGTCTGGTCCACTTGACGTATCACTTGATAACAAACCTTAAAAATCGAAATTCCTCAAACCACTAAACTCTAATAGATTTCGCCGTAACATTTATTGAGGAATGCTTTCGATTTATACAAACCCTTTGGTAATTGGCTGAAAAGTGGTTCCGAAGTCACACGATTATTTTAAGAATCATTCAAGTTTTTTTCCATATAACTATACTTTTGCCAGTTTTCGTTGTTTTCTTTCACTAAAAACATGTTGCCCACTTAACTTATCGCAGCTGTTAAATGAACAAGTGGTGTCATTCATAGTTACTTCAAAATAAAAAATATTGAGCCATCATCATCATCATCAACGATATAGAGCCTGGTACATGTGTGAGTTGATCCATGTTGCCATAATAGATTAGCGTAACGAGATTAAAGTAACAAACAAATGTTAAAATAATATGATAGCAATAATATAAAGAAGGAGTAAACCTTGCAAGATAAAAACGACACTGAACCATACTACCCAAAGTTACTAACCACTGATTGTAGTTAACGCGCTGATACCAACCAGAGTTAAAAATTTACCAGTATGAATTAGACCAACAATCAAAGATTTCATAGACTGATAACATGTTTTGATTTAGCCACCTTTAGCCTCTTCCCAACTCATAAAAGAAATATAAAAGAGATAATAGTAGAAGACAAAACAACAAAATTTACAAAACTGAAACATAAATGAATTTTTGTGAGAGAGAAACAAGTTGTTTTATTTCTTTTTCTTTTTGTCGTGTTTATGTTTTTTCTGATGTCCTGTACCATTATTATTACTAACGTCACTGGTATTCGATAAGAATTTATGTTCAGTTAACAAAAGGCGAGCAACATTGTTGATATGTTTGAATCGATCAGGTCCAAGTTGGATACCACCATACCATCGACTTACCTAGAAAATAGAACACACAAACATACACAAACTACGAATGACAAAAACAAAAATATGAAAACATTTAGGAGATTAAAGAAATAAGGTTTAGCCAGATATTTCAAATGAATTTTGACGTGTAGATGAAACACAACGATGTATTAATTAAGAAGTGGATCCTTGTAAAGAATATGTCATACAGAGAAAAATAAATCAAAAACCACTTGAATAGAATTCAAGAAAACTTGTAATTTTCTTTTTCAAATACCGCCAATCATTCGATAAAAACTTTGTGGGTGAGTTAAAAGCTGCTAACCAACCAAATATCATCTGCTATGAATACAGTAAAACTTCGGATTTTACAGTCCTTAAACCTTAATTATTACACTCGTGCAACGAGAATTATTTGTGAGCCTACAATACAGATTCTTCTCAATGAGTTTTACCTGTTTTCTATTTCTTCATTTGTTTTCTGATATTTTATGTTGCCCTGTCTCTCAAGGTAAAAATCAGATTGTATGTAGCAAGGAGGTTCAAACTAATATTACTTTTTGGGGAGATAATAAAAGATTTGTGGGCTCCTACACGTGGGGTAACAGGCGTAAGTAAAGTAAGTCTTTGTAAAAGGCTGACGTTACTCTTTTCATTGTCTAAATGGGTCAACAGCAACTGAAGTGTAATTGTAAGGAAACTGTTTGATTTCCATTTCATAAGTGTAAGACAAATCATTATTTTATTGTAACTTTCTCTAGGAGGAAACAGCTTTCTAGTGCTTCCAAGTTTCAAAATGTTTGTCATGATTGTCGTGATTTAAATAAAATATTAAAGATGCGTTGCTCTCCCTTTAAGGCGAAAATGTTACCTCATGATTGGTTTGTATTATAGTTCAGATTGATCATAAAGAATAAGGTAGCTAAGTGGATAAACCATTTAACGTATCGAAGTTTCATTTGCTTTATTGGGTTGGTTTGATGAAATATTGGAGATAAAGAAAGCTCGCTTGACGTATACTAACTAGCATCTCCTTGTGGCCTTCGCGTGTCGCTTCACTGCACGGAAGTTTGCTATCATATTTTATAGCTGTGAAATATCGCAACATTCGTCGGCTACTACTATTGGACCACAGACGTCCTTGAAGCATTGAGAACATCGGTCGAAGCCATATCGGTAGATACATACTAGCTGGTTGGTATCGACGTGATTACTGTGATCAATGGTTAGATATGTGGAATGACATGAGTTACGATAGATCACAGTAGCCTAGATGCACTGGCTCTTTATCGTTATCTGGATTTTGAGTCCAAGCATTTCTTTACCCATGCCTTTTTATTCAATTTACTTGAACAATATTTTGAACGTTTGATCTTTTTCACCATAATTTCAACTACAATTATTTCGAATCTCATGCTATTCATCTCATCATGCTGATCTAATATGACTAGCCAATATTTGTGCCTAGGTTTACAGTGACTATGACTAAAAGAAGTAGAAGTAAATTCAGTCTAACGAGAATCTAGCCAGCTAGAAAGAAGCGAATACATCATAGGTAGATCCAAACAGTTCACACTAATAAGAGTGGAAGCAAAAGGGCGAGTCAAAAAAATGTGACCATCAAAAAGGGGAAAATTAATAAATGCGGGCATTGAAATGGGAAATAACATTTTTAATGTTCGCTTAGCCCTTTATCCTGTATTAACATGCCACTTTTTAATGGTCCCGCATATTAATGTCCACCCCTTTACACTAGCCCTTTCGATAGTCGACCTTTTGCTTGCACCCTTCAGGATGAATACTACTTCAAACAAGACACATTTAAAGTCGACCATCAAATAATTTTGGTTAACAGTAGCTATCCACAATTAACGTATCGGTGTTTTCTTCGAAGATTGACACAAAAGGATAAACAATGTAACACTTTGAAAAAAATGTGATAGGAGACAGCAATGACTTTTAACTCAAAGGACTGAACCTTAAGAATAATTAGACATTAGACCAGTTACACTGATTAGTAATTTTGCTGCCTTCGATTATTTGGTTTTCAGCAGTGTAACCAAGAAGACTAAATCTACAAAGCCATTTTGTTAAGAACATTTAAATTTGCCCAAGTAGTGAAAATTGATCAATAATGTCTACAGTTGCCACTAAATAGGTTAACATTATCTGTTAAGAATTGAACTACACTATTGCTCAGATGAAAACCAACAAAGAACAATTCCCCCTGTAGAGCATACCATGGTCAAATAAGATGTAACAAACTATATGCTAATATTACAACTTGGTACCTTGAATAATCGCCAATATTAAATACAATTTTTCAGTTATAACACTCACCATAACTGCTACATTTTCAATTCCTGATAATGTAAGTAAATGTAATAGTCGACCACCTGCATGTGTTTCTCCATCATCGTCACAGTCAGCTTCTTTGGAGGAGATACGCCAAGCTAGGATATTATGAGTAGCAGTAGCAACTTTTCTATCCGTAAGCAGTGTTGATATAAAAAGGGATACTTCACCACGGGTAGAAACACGTGCACAATGAGCCTATACAGTCAACCGATATAGTCAATATTAGTATTTTATTAATGCCGCTTATATTGAACAGTATTATTTCATCTCAAAAAACATCCCACAGCTTAAACGGAATTTTAGCCGACTCATGGTTCAAACGCTAAGTTATCAAAGCAAAATGTAATCAATAGTCAATCGCATCAATCCGTAATTTGGTGATAAGCTGCATTAAAAACCACAATTTTCAAAAAACCAAAGTTATATTGTTCAACTTAGAATATCAACCTACTTACGTATAACTGTCCTAGAGAAAACCAAGACTTCAGCAAAAATATATTTCTGTTTGTGTATTCTCCTGAAAGATTATTAAGGAACTATAACAAACAAGTTAATGAAAAGATCACAGGGAGATCTCAATATACGTAATGCTACATAAAACATCTGGTAACTAAAAGCCTGTATGTTACGTTGTTTCGACTCTGATAATCATTCGTATATGCATATAACCACTGCCGAGGAAGTCCTACTCACTTCATTCACGTGGCGGCAGTGTTGTCTACGAAATTGAGGACGAAAAGCGAATATCCGACGTTTTAACCGGGTCGGTGTACACAGAGAGTCCACCTAGAGGAGTTGGAAAACCCTGATCCCAAACCAATGGTCACATGGGTCACAGGATCCTGAAGGAACAAATGGCGTATGAACCAGTCGTTGGTAAGCGGCTATCATGAGACTGCATCTCTTTACGTTGCTCCAATGCCTTGTGGATTAGACCTTTAGGTCAAAGGCTCGGAATGCGGCCATCTAAGAAAACCACCTGCTTGGGTTTTGGCAACCGGGCAGTATCCCAGCCCTCACAAAAATCGAATGAGATTTGTGTGGCGCATACTTATTTGGTGCCTCCTTGTACCAATGTTTATTATGTTAAATAAATAAATATCATTCGTATAATTGGCTCTTTTTCCAAACTGAACATACTAAAGTACTTATGTTAAGTTTATGGAAGCAAATATATACGTTGTTATGTGTAACTATCAACTGAAAAAAAAACAGAAAACGACAATGACGATAATGGAACTACCTACGAAAATAATTAGGAATTCTTGTAATTACTAGATAAAACAAGTTAACTTCCCGTCAACTAATATTACCAAATGAGAAATTAACAGAAAGTAAATATACTTCAGAATGTTTTGGAACCAGAATAATAGAAGTATAATTGTTTTATGGTAATCTCTTGAGAGGTTGTGCAGATAAAAACAATAAATAACATTCTTTAACAACCCACTTAGACGAAAACAATCCATTATCACCAAGTTATTTCCTTAACTATATTACAAGTACTCTCATCTTACACCTTGTATCCTTAACACTTCGAAAGTAGTTAACACAAAATACAAGTGTAGAACAATCGTGTGCCAGTCATGATATATAATTAACGTAGATCATGTCACGAATGTCCGTCAACGAATGTATCAGAACAGTTGTAATAGTAATAGCATCAGTGGTAGTAGAGAAGAGAATACGATTTAAAAAGAATCAGCTTGCAGAATAAGACGTATAAGATCATTTTAAGATTAAAGAGCTATAGGAAAACAGTGAATGTACCTGCACCATTGGACCAACTTTGAGCAATTTCACCCACAGAATAATCATGAATCTAGAGTTCAAAAACCAACATTTCAGTAATAATCAATGAATAAATAGCTAATATCTAAGGAATACTTATAGTTACGTAGGTACTTATTGATAAACGGTGCTCTTGTTTAAAACAATCACTTTCAATAAAAATACTCCCATACGTCACACCGAAAGTATAGTTTGATATGAAACAAATATCGACCTTTTAATCACTAAGATAGTTACCTGGAAAACGCTTTTACGATCTATAAGCGGTTCACCATGATAAATCTCTGGTACTTTTGAGTTTAAAGCAAATGGCAAAATTTGGGGAGATATGTCAAGATGAGATTTTACTGAAGGCACCGATACAACCGCACTTGGTAGTTCGTGATTTTCCGGCACAGACTGTGATGATGATTCTTCAACTTTATGAATGGTTAGATTTTCAGTACTCGAAGACAAATAATTACACATGAATGATCGAACAGTCTCAACCAACAAATAAACAACTGGGGAGCCAAGTGAAGACGAGACTACAAGCTGCAATTGTTTGTCGAGTTCATTAAGAATATTACACTTGAGCCAAGGTGCATGCAATCTGAAAACATAGATGATAACATCACAATACGAACTCATATTTTACTGGATTGATCGAAGGATAGCCAGGGACTTGCTGGAATTTCAGGATAATTTGTTCCTTGCTAGTAGTATCACCCATTTTTGAGTCGATCCTTATCTCGTAGACTCTATGACTCCATATAATTAACAATAAATTTACTTGTTCTCAGGCTCCAAGATAAAAAAGTCCTCTTCGTATATAGCAGAGAGAACTTCTATTTCTTCTGCTGCTTCTGTGAAATCATACGGCTGATCAGTTGAGAGGTTCATTCGCTTTACTCCTACTTCTAAATTTATAGTATATATACACACGAGTAGTGACGAACCGTTTAGACGAAAAACAGACTAACATACCTACTTTCCAAGCTCAACAACAAAGTCATTATTTTTATGAAAATCTAATCAAAAAAATTAAACTGGATGGTTTTTTTCGCTGGTAAATACACACCGGATTTTAAATAAGTTAGTATTAAAAATGGAATAAATGCTCAACTGACTGTATTGCCTGATTAATTTGATGGTCATATACATAATACCTGGCCAACTTATCATCAAATACACAACATTGCTTTACACTGGTAACGTCAAAATATAGCAAGTGGCTGAGGATGCTCAAGTAAGTGGACTTCAGTTCGAAATCAACAACCTGTTAAAGTGGTCTCTGATATGAAAAAACCCTAAGAATAGAGCTGCGTCACACTGAGTATTGGATATGCAAATAGCACAAACTACAAAATTAAATCTTTATCCCACTAGTATTAACTTACAAAGACCATAGGATCACAGCAAGTTATCTTTTAAAGACTGGCTCACTACTGTTCGGTTGAAGTCAGATATTAAAACAGTGACGACATTAACTTTCATAAAGTGAGGTAAAATTATGTTTAAAACTGTTCATATGACTTTAGCAATATCCGAACCAAAAAATATATAGAGGTCATAGGCCCCTGTTTGGGAGACGACTAATATCTTGCAATGAGTGCAAAGGATCATTACGTAGCGGGTATTTGCTTAATCCCTGAGCTACACCCTTAACCTTAAAATGGGCTTGATGACTTAAACGTTTTTACATAATCCTACGGTAAGTGGAAAAGGCCTATTTATTACTCAATAGACACTAGGTGATTTCGAACTTGGCATACTACTTACTCTCATATAAGAAATACTCCAAGAACACAACGGATGGATTTAAAAGCTAAACAGGCAAAATCGCCGTAGTGTACAGGTTTTCCCAGTGAGTAACCAGAACTAGAAACCTACTACGGCAAGAACTAGCTAATTAGGGAGAAGACTAGACGAATACAGAAGGATATTGAAAAAGAACTAACTCCAGAATGCTAAACGTGCAGCACAAAGGCGAAAATCAACTGAAATCAACGTGGTTGTTGAAAGATCAATACAGATGTTTCTAGGGCAGCACTCCACCCACAATAAATTGTGCTGAAGGTTGTACTCACTGTGAATTTATGCCGTCAAAAAGTGACAAATAAGGGTCCTCTACGTTCTAACCCCAAAGAAGGTGAAGAATGAGAACAATTGGCGCCCTTCTTTGTTAACAATACATCCCAAGGGACGTCGCGTTCATTTGAGTCATGTTTGCCTTTATTTCCCCTTTTTGCTAGGGTATTATTTACGAAATAGTGTATGGTTGGTAGTGTTTTTTGAGACAGCGACCGACGTTCTTCTGGTATTAGTTCGGCTACAATCGTATAAAGTTGTACAGACATGTCAATGACCCACAAGACATCTTGTTACAAGTAGATTTGCCTACGGAGAAATACAACGTCCGACCTTAGGTAAGTTTACATCTTGCCTGAAGTTTCTTTATGTGCTGAGACATGTAAGCTTACATGTCTGCTCTTACATTCTGCTCCTAGGAGCAGAATATGATAAACGAACGAGGGTAAAAGTGAGCCAAATACTCAGCGAGTGCATAGAACTCGCTTGCATTTATTGAAGAAAGCCATCGATGACAATCGTATATAACAAGCATGGTTAAAGCTAACTTACAAGTGACCTTAAAGCAGCGCTAGAACGACCTTCACACTATCCACCTACCTATAAGGATTAAATGAGGGTTAGAAATTGGTGTCAGGTATAAAGATCACGGTTAACAGTTGGTCGTTAGGGTTAAGAACTAGATTTTGGCTTTCCATCACGAATTGAGATCAATCAAAATGCCAAATGTGATCTAGCCAAGTTGTAACGGCATTAAAATCATCATGTATGATGTTGTTAATAGATTTTGTTTTCCTTCTATTGCAGGGCAAGCAAGAATAAATGCTTTAGAAGAAGAAGAGCAAGCCCTACACGCACTGAACTTACAGGATGACTCATAAGACCGCTTTGTAAACTGAGCTACATCTTCGTGTATGGAAGGCCACCAAAAGCGTTGACGGACAGCGTGTTCAGTTCTCCGTTCTCCCGCATGACCAAGTTCGCGGTGTACCTGTTCCACAATACTCTCAACTTTCACTCGCTGTACTATCAGTAGGGGTTGTTTTGATTCATTCATTAGGAATAATGTGTCACCATATAGCTTGAAGTTACCCCATTTGGTGCAGATACGACGAGTTGTTACGGATTGATCTTTAAGCTCCCTCATGGATGGCTTACTATTTCCATGTAGCTGTCTTTGATAAACAATCTGTAAGTCTGGATCTGCTGCTTGTAGGGAGGGCCAGTCTGTCTCTGGAGCTGTACTAAGAATTGCGTTAATAATATCTGTGGTCTGGGGTATTCGGGAGAGGGCATCCGCGTTTGCATGTCGATTTCCCGGTCGATACTCGCATGTGAAATCGAACTCTTGTAGTCTCTCCTACCAGCGTGCCACTTGCCCTTCTGGTTCGCGGAAAGAGCGGAGCCACTGCAGTGCACGGTGATCCGTGCGCACACGAAAGGGTTTGCCCAGCAGATAATGGCGAAAATGTTGTAAGAATTTTGCTAGTGCTAACATCTCCCGACGTGTTGTAGAATATCGTGCTTCACTCTTATCTAGTCGTCGACTAGCATACGCAATGACCCTTTCGTGTCCGCACGGATCACCGTGCACTGCAGTGGCTCCGCTCTTTCCGCGAACCAGAAGGGCAAGTGGCACGCTGGTAGGAGAGACTACAAGAGTTCGATTTCACATGCGAGTATCGACCGGGAAATCGACATGCAAACGCGGATGCCCTCTCCCGAATACCCCAGACCACAGATATTATTAACGCAATTCTTAGTACAGCTCCAGAGACAGACTGGCCCTCCCTACAAGCAGCAGATCCAGACTTACAGATTGTTTATCAAAGACAGCTACATGGAAATAGTAAGCCATCCATGAGGGAGCTTAAAGATCAATCCGTAACAACTCGTCGTATCTGCACCAAATGGGGTAACTTCAAGCTATATGGTGACACATTATTCCTAATGAATGAATCAAAACAACCCCTACTGATAGTACAGCGAGTGAAAGTTGAGAGTATTGTGGGACAGGTACACCGCGAACTTGGTCATGCGGGAGAACGGAGAACTGAACACGCTGTCCGTCAACGCTTTTGGTGGCCTTCCATACACGAAGATGTAGCTCAGTTTACAAAGCGGTCTTATGAGTCATCCTGTAAGTTCAGTGCGTGTAGGGCTTGCTCTTCTTCTTCTAAAGCATTTATTCTTGCTTGCCCTGCAATAGAAGGAAAACAAAATCTATTAACAACACCATACATGATGATTTTAATCCCGTTACAAAGTGAGTGGATGAAATTTGCGCTAAACCTTGAATCGGTTTCAATGATCCATAATTTTTCATTATTTATGGCAATCACATATATGGAAGCAGAAATTATTAATGAAAGGTTCTAAATACATTGGTGGAAATATATGTTAATCATTCAGATGCCATGATGATTTAATGTCCGACAGATATCAAAGGAAGTAACCAAGCATAAAATTGTCTGAATAAAGTTCGTTTTTCATATGCCTAGATTGTCGTCATTACGTCATTATGCAAAGTATAAATGAGTGATCCTTAAGAGATCATTAAAAGCCGACCCACCATATATACTGCACTCACTTTCGGAAAGAAAGGGGATTTTTAGTGAATATTGTTATGTCCTTGGCTATACGAATATCGCGAAATGCGACTATCAATTTAGATATGCCAACTTATATGACCAAAATAATGACGTATACACCAGTACGGACAGCCTGCAGTTCAGACGTGTTTTTCTCAGTCTAGTCCTGCCTCTCAAGTCCTGAATGCCAGTCTCAGCCTCCGCGATGTAGCGGTAAATAAATCCCCAAAATAAATAGCTCTGTAAGTTTTCGACATTGGATGCTGACCATATGTTTTAGTGGACTCATCTAGCTGAAGGCGCTCGGTCAGGCATCCGCACCAGATCACGTGTGGTAACGCCCTGCTCAACATCAACCGCAATCGCTAGCCAGATTAGATCAGAGAATTCCGATATATTGGTCATCGCCAAATATACTCTTCCGATCTCCTCGACTCTGTCTTTTGATTTCTCTGGGTGGGAACGAAATACATTAGAAGGTGTTACTGGTAGAAGCGTTGTCAAACACTGAATACCTGTGACATCATCATTGGTGAGCCTGATGTGATCTGGTACACCTAGTTGCAACTGTGAGTCTGTTCCTTTTTGGGATTTTTATATATCATTGCCTTATTTTTTTTATTTTTTTTAAACATTGTGATTTTTTTCGTGTTTTTTCTTGGATATATATATTTTTTCCCCTCGTTCATTATCGTACTTCATACTTCATCATGACTGAACAGACACCTAAAGTTCTCAAGCTTAAGACTTTGTCCCCACCATCGTTTCAACTGATGCCTTTCTGGCCCGACAACATTGAAGCCTGGTTTTGCTACGCAGAAGCCAACTTCTCCGAGCACAGCGTGATCGACACACGTGCACAATTCCTCGCAGTAGTCAAGGCACTACCGCGCGAATTCAACAGGTACGTAACACCTAGTATGTTTACTAGTGATGTTTCCGATCCTTACGAAATCTCAAAACGCTCGATTCTTAAACAAGGAGACCTAACCGATCGACAAAGGTTAGATCAACTCTTCAACAATATCGACCTGCAACACGGTTCTGCGACGGACATGTTGCAACGGATGAGAGAGGTAATAGGCCCAAGAACTTTCGACGAAGGTCTATTCAAACAACTCTTCTTGTCAAATCTTCCCCAACAGGTGCAAGCAGTTCTGGTCTCATTCCAGAACAACGCCTTAGACGAGCTAGCTGCATCTGCCGACCGCATTTTAAAAATTACGGAACCTACTACCGAGGTATTTTCAGTCAAAGAAAAACCTCAAACGACTCAGAATGACATAACCGAGTTTTGTCATACACTCACGCGTTGTCTTAATCTTCGTACCGACCGTAAGAGATCGCGCACTCCACGTAGAAGCATTTCTCGTAAGCGATCTGTCTCTAGACCACGAGAGACAGATAACCCCGACTGGTGCTGGTATCATAACCAGTATGGAAAGCTTTACAGAAATTGCAGAAAACCCTGCAATTTTCCCAACACGAAACCGACTGATTCGAAAAACAATTCGGGAAACTTCCAAGCCGGCACGCGTTAACGGCAACCGTAGCCGGCGAACAAAGCCGTCTGTTATTCGTCACAGATGTGACAACGAGAGTTCGCTACCTCGTCGACACTGGCGCAGAAGTTAGCGTTCTCCCAGCAAATCCTAACGACCGACTTCACTTACAGGCGGCAAACGGAAAACCGATCGCTACGTATGGCAAAAGGTACGTTTACCTTAACATGGGTTTACGCAAACCCATTCACTGGATTTTCGTTGTTGCAGATGTTTCTATGCCAATCATTGGTATGGGCCTTCTACAACACCATAATCTAATCATCGACACTCGCAAACGAAGGCTAGTAGACGGAAACACTAATTTGTCCGTTTGCGTAACTTCTTTTACTGGTTGTAGAGTATCCCCAGTCACAGTTAAACATATGAGAGACCCACTCTATCAACCACTACTCGATAAGTACCCTGGGATACAACAAACTCAACCGAAACTACCGTGTGTAACCAGCAATGTTACACATCACATCACGACTACAGGACCACCTGTATTCTCTAAAGCACGACGACTAGCTCCTGAAAAGCTAAGGTTAGCGAAAAACGAATTCGATCACATGATGGACTTAGGAATCATACGACCGTCAAGTAGCCCATATGCATCTCCGTTGCACATGGTCCCTAAAAAAGACAGCAACGATTGGCGTCCAACTGGTGACAATCGGCGATTGAACGCGAAAACCATTCCCGATCGTTACCCGTTGCCTCACATTCACGATTTGACAGCTACCTTGAAAGGTACAACTGTCTTTTCGAAAATCGACTTGGTTAAAGCGTATAACCAAATCCCTATGGCTACTGACGACATACCGAAAACAGCTATCATAACTCCTTTCGGACTCTATGAATTTTTGCGAATGCCTTTCGGTCTAAGGAATGCTGCTCAAACATTCCAGAGATTCATAGACGACGTTTTTCGAGGTCTCAACTTCGTACACGCGTATGTTGACGACTGTCTAATCGCAAGTCCGGACAGAGAAACACATCTCAAGCATCTGGACCTTGTTTTCGAACGACTACAAAAACATGGCATTACTGTAAACGTTCAGAAATGCCAAATTGGAACCGACTGATTAGACTTTCTGGGACACACTATCGATGCTCAAGGTATCCGACCCCTTAGAACCAAAGTGGCGGCCATTCTGGATTACCCAGAACCGACCACCGTCAAGCAATTACGCACGTTTAACGGCCTGGTAAGTTTCTATAGACGTTTCATACCCAAATGCGCATTACTTATGAAACCTCTGACCGATCAACTTCGTGGAAATGCGAAATCCATTAATTTGGACGACACCGCACGAAAAGCATTCTCCACAGTTAAGGAACTGATTGCTAAAGCAACAATGCTCGCACATCAGGACACCCGAGCACCCATTAGCATCGCAGTAGACGCATCCGACCCGGCA